ACACACACACTCACACTCACACACACACACACTCACACTCACACACACACACACACACACACATATATATATATATATATAAACGCATATAGGCATATATTTATATAATACATTGATAAACCCATAAACCAGCAAATTACTGACACTCAGGAGGCACACATACCAGGCCCAGTGTACACTTGGTTTGCTTTGTTCAATGCATTCGAAGTAGTGCAAATGATCTTCACGAGTCAACGACGCCAGCAGATAGATAGCTAATCTACGCCAAATACATACATATACACAAACACACGCATGTGCATACATACATACACATCCACACACCCTACCACACACATGTACACAGATACACAAGTACATACATACCCACATACATACATACATTCACACATACTTCCATACCCGTGCACACACATACACATCCCATAGACACCTACCAGGCCCAGTCTGCGGTTGACTTGCTCTGCTCAATGCATTCGTAGTAGTGCAGCTGCGCCTCCTTCGTCAGTGATGTCATGAGATAGATGTCGCCAATCTGCTTCTCGTTGCGTGCAGGTGCTCGTTTGCGCAGTTGTTTGGTCTCGTCTGCTGTGATGGTACGCTCAAACGGTGCCTGTGCGCGATGGCGAGGGTTTGTGGTATGAGATGTGATGTGGAAGAGTATGTGTGTGATCTGTTGTATGGCGTAGTTCAGCATGGTTTAGGGATAAAGGTTTAGAGTTTAGGGGTAAGGGGTGTTCGATGACTTATGGGCGTAGTTCAGTATGTGTGTGGTATGTAACATGGCGTAGTTCAGTATGGTTCAGCGTTTAGGGGTTAGGGTTCAGGGTCCATGGTCTAGGGGTTAGGGGTTAGGAGTGTGATGGGTCATGTGGCGTAGTTCAGTGTGTGTGAGATATGTTGCGTGTCTCCGTTTGTTTCCGTTAGCGTTGAGTCAATAGTATTGTTGTGAACCCATCACTCCACATCAACATCGCCCACGTGCTTCCGCTAGGCTTCAGAATAGTACACATATCTGTCAGAACAGATTTGCATTCCCAAGCTATTTCCATTGGTACGAAGGAGCGATCATCAGCATAAGGTGTTGCTCAGGTACACATGCATATGTTATATATA